AAATGGGGTCAAATTGAAAATTTTAAAATATATAAAATTTGAATTTGGCCCTAATGACCGGAAGTTAACCTAGAAACGGGCTAATGGCTCATTAGTGAAAGGATTGTGTAAGTTCAGGGATTTTTGTGAAAGGATTTGAAGTTCAGGTACCACTTCGAAATTCCAGCTAAAGTTCAGGTACCATTGGTGAAATTTACCCCTATTAATGTTGTATCCTCTATAGTATGGCCAAATAGCACCAGTACCCCCCGTGGTTTGCAAAATAGGCATCTAAACCCCCTCTGTTTTCAAAACTTATTTCTTAAGTCCCTGTGGTTTCAAAATGTTGCACCCGTGCCCCATCTGATCATTTTCCGGCGAAGAAGGGGGGCATTGCTGCATATTTACTAAACCACAGGGGGTATCAGTGCTGATATTTGTTTCTCGCTTATTTTTTTGTTTTTTTCCATTTTTTCCTTTATAGTTTCTTTTATTAATAAAAGTATTTTTATAATGCTCATAAAATTTAAAGTTATTTTTGTTTGAAAAAATTAACATATAATGTATATGTACTTCTCAAATCAATAATTTTTGTTTTTTCTGAAAAAAGTAAACTTTTTTTTGGAGAATTTCAAAACAATGATGAATAAAATAAGAAACAAAATAATAGAAAAATAAAAATGAATATCTTTTTCGAACATCTCAATTCTAGGTTTTTCTTTTTGAACTTTCCAAATAAGTACGTAACAAAAAGTGAAAATGTTTAATTTCAAATAGATGCAATGTATGTCAATTTTTTTATTTTTATGTCAAAAACAAAAAATTTTAAAATTTTAAAACATTATAAATTTGAAAAAAAAAACTAGGAAAAGAAAAAAGAGGTAGAAAATATTTAAAAAAATAAAAATACAAATAATAAACGAAAAATAAAAAATGAGCACGAATACCCCCTATGGTTTAAAAATTATGCGCAAATGCCCCCTCTTCGCCGGAAAATGGCCGGAAAATGATCAGAGGGGGCACGGGTGCAGCATTTTGAAACCACGGGGACCTTAGAAATAAGTTTTGAAAATAGAGGGGGTATTGGTGCCAATTTTCCAAACCACAGGGGGCACCGGAGCTATTTGGCCCCTATAGTATCCATACCGAATATCCAATATTCCAATGTTTTTTTTTTTGAAAAAAAAACTTTAAACTTACAATTATTGTAAGAATAATTGTGTACACCTAAAATATGTACTCCGGTAAATGTCAATACCATATTCAACCAACCATTTTATCACTTTCTCCGTAAAACAATATTCTTCTCAGTTACTCCGTACTATTTATATGGTCAAAATTTATTACTTTCTTTACATGTTTTTATTATTTATTTTACTCCCTATGTCCCCAATTTGATTACAAATTGGATTTGTGAGGAAACTTTTTGAAATCATTTTATTTATTATTCGGTATATCAATAAAAAAATAAAAATTATATATTAAAAAACTACGTCAAAAGTTCTGCAAAATAAGAGGTGACAAAAATATTTTATTTTATCAAATATTTAATGAAATCGCGTAAATAAACAAAAGTTATTGAGAGAAGGGAAAAAAATTGTAATCAAAATGGATATGGAGGGAACATAAAAAAATATAGTTTTGTAACTTCTTGTTTTGTAAAACTTTTGATATAGTTTTTAAATATATAAATTTTATTTTTAAATTTTAAACCTACAATTAAATATATTAAATTAATAATAAAGTCGGCCAAATCTTGTAAACAGAAACGGAAAGAACATTTTAGGACAGAGGAAGTATAACATAAATAACAAACATATTTAGTACTCCGTACAAGGGGAACTACAATATACTTCAGCATTAATGTTTTTCAAACAAAAAAGAGCTTAAAAAAATTATTGCAAAATATATACCCTTCCATTTCATTATGTTTGTCATCCATTATTTATATAGTCAAACTATTATTTTAAAAAAATATTTTCATCTATCATTTGTAAAATAATATAGGTATTTATATATGTTTTGGTTTGTACAAATTTTGATGTAGTTTTAAAAGTGAACTTTTTATTTTTAAAATAAAAGTTTACATTAGTCAATTGAAAAATTAAATTGAAAATAATTTTAGTCAAACATACATCATAAATTAAAATTAGACAAAAATAGCGGGACAAAGGGAATGGTATTTAAAATAAACTAAAAATATCTAATATTCATTCCTATGTAGAGTATTTGTCAGGTTTGTCTTGTTTTGAGTCACACTCGACGACCATTAATCGTTATTCACATTAAAATTGTACAAAGTATTATATATTAGTTCAATGAATTAATTTTTTGAAAATTGTCTACCGAATGAATGTAATAAAATTATTTTTATAATAATGTGCAATATCCTTTTAACTTAATTGATTATCAAAATTTGTTTAGTTTGACTCAAGAAAGTTAAAAGAATAAAATACTTTTACTTTAAGACTGAGTAGTTAAAAATACAGTTTGACTTTTTGAATAAAAAAGTAGCACATTTGACCATGAATTATGGAAAAAGTATGTTTAGTTATAATGTAAATTTAGTAAAATTTGGTTTATTTTAAAATATAGTTTTGAAATATCAAATTTTAATATTCCATCCGTCTCAAAAACTCCTCCTTTCTTTTTTTCTTGTCTCACAAAATCCTTCCTTTTTTTATTAAAAATCCACTTTTACCGTCATTAATTCTTAACCTACATATTACTTCATACATTTTTACTTATAATCTATCTATCACATCTTACTTTACCTATGACATCAAGGGTATTTTTGAAAAGTCAACACAAAATTATTTCTCCCTTAAAAATTTTCTAAACGGGAATATCTTTATGGGACGGAGAAAGTAATATTTAATTCTTTTAAACTACTCCATCCGTCCCATAAAACCCATTTTGTTTGAAAAAAATATGTGCCTTTAAAATGAGTAATTTTAGTGTAATTTTCAAATTATAACTCACCTATTCTACACATCTCATCTTACTCTATCATAAAATAAGAGCAAAATTAGAAAATAACACCAAAATTACTCATTTTGGGAGAGTATTTTTTTCGAAAAGGAAAGATTTTGTGGGATGGTTGAAGGGTGTTTGATTTATGGTCAACGCGAGTGTCACAATTTGATCCAAAAAAGTCAAATGGTGACAATTAAATTTAAGGGTTTGACCTTTTATTTGTGTTAAGTTACTACTCGGTTCTTGACATGGTATATAAACACTGTTGACCATGTGGTTTTGTGGTAACTTAAAACGTACTCGTAGTAAGTTAAAAAGAGAATGAAGATGGTGTTTGGGCATGCGGGGCATCTAAGGGTTTGACTTTTTATATTTGGGTGACCATTGTATTGTTATGTCTGGGATATCCTATTTTCCTTTTTCTCATCAGTAACTTTGTTTGTAAAACACCATTTTGGAGAAGTAGATATATATATATATATGTGATATTTTTGTTTTTAACTTGTGTGTTTGTCTAACGCAATATTTAAAAATTACTCCGGTCATAACCTCATCACCCGGCCACCAAATTTCTTCGAAATACTACGTATGGCAAATATTTCATGTATAGTTTGGTCATTGGTGCATACAAGAAATTTTCTTCAAGAAGGTGTGTGATTTATGAAAACAAAAAGAAGGAACACAAAACATGCATGATATGGGATGGATGTTCATTTCATTTTAGATCATAGTAGGAGAGTATATAATTCATACATTTCAAAATGAACATTTTTTTTAGCAAAAATATATGCATATATTAAAATGATGATATTTGGATGGTAATGCAATAGGTTGGCCTAAGTGGTGCACTTGAGACCCTTTGTGGACAAGGATATGGCGCCAAGTTGTACAGGATGATGGGGGTTTACCTCCAGACGGCGTGCATCATATCATTTCTTTCGAGTGTTATCATATCCGCGGTGTGGTGGTTTTCGGAACACATCTTGGTTTTACTGCAACAAGACCCTGAAATTGCAAAACTTTCCGGCCTGTACCTCAAGTTTTTCATACCGGGATTGTACGCCTACGGGTTTTTGCAAAACTTGTTGAGGTTTATGCAGACACAGAGAGTCGTTCTGCCATTGGTCATGAGCTCGATCGTGCCATTGACTATCCAGGTCGGCCTCACATATGTGTTGGTTCGGTTCACAAGCCTGGGTTTCGCAGGGGCACCATTGGCCGCATCTATTTCGTTGTGGCTGTCGTTTCTCATGCTGGCCGGGTACGTGCTGTTTTCAGGGAAATTCAACAACACTTGGGAGGGTTTTTCGTCGGAGTCGTTTAGCTATTTCTTTGTAACAATGAGGCTTGCTCTGCCCTCTGCTGCCATGGTGTGCATGGAGTATTGGGCTTTCGAGCTGCTAGTGTTGTTGGCGGGCATTATGCCGAACTCGGAAATAACGACTTCTCTGATTGGGATGTGCGTGAACACGGAAGCGATTGCGTACATGATCGCGTATGGTCTCAACGCGACTGCGAGCACGAGAGTGTCGAACGAGTTGGGAGCGGGAAGGCCGGAGAGAGCAAAGCAAGCCGTGGCCGTCACATTCGTGCTGTGCATCCTTCTGGCTTCCGCCACGGCGCTTTCCCTGGTGTTTGGCCACAACGTTTGGGCTGGCCTCTTCAGTGATAGCGCGGCCGTCATATCAAATTTTGGTTCGATGGCGCCCCTTCTGGTCATCTCCTTCCTTTTTGACTTTTTCCAAGGAATCTTATCAGGTCATCAGGCATCTATCCATCAATCTAAACGTATATATGTTTGATCTTCTTCTCCTCCTCCTCACTAATATATATGGGAGTATTTAATTGTATGTGTTTCTTTTCTTTCAAGCAGCGGTGGCGAGGGGGTGCGGGTGGCAGCACTTGGCTGTGGGCATAAACCTGGGATCATTCTATTTCATTGGAATGCCAATTGCGGCAGTTTTGGCATTCAAGTTTAAACTCTATGTGAAGGTAATTTTAAGAAGTACTCGTTTAATTTAGAGTCTCAACTGTACTGTGTTAAGTTAATGTAGCTAGAGAGATACTGCGTGTGACTAATATTATTATAAGGAAAAACGTACGTACTGTATGTGGGCACAGGGGTTATGGATTGGGTTGATCTGCGGCCTGGCTTCGCAGTCGTCCGGTTTGTTGTTGCTCTCCATCTTCAGGAAGTGGGACAGAGTGGAGATCTCCACTATCACTGAAAAAGATAACCACAAGGCGGCATTGCTGACTTGAATCAAAGTACGTTCTTATTACATTCATGCTGGATTATTTTGGGAGTGTATTCAAATCTCAACTCCAATGCATGCAATGGCGGCGGCTCTTCTCCTCTCTCTCTCTCTCTCTCTCTCTCTCCAAGGAAATCTGTAATGTATGATGAAATAATTGGTTTACAAAGAGACCAAACTGTTAGTGGCTGAATGATCAGTTTTGATCCCCCCAAATAAAGGCCTGGCTAGTTTGGTATTGTTGTGGTTTTTGGGTTATCAAAAGTTGGACACAAATCCGGGTTGATTTTGTTTGTGTAGAATTATTACTCGCTACTGATTTAGCTATTCACTCTTCTATTTAATTAGAATGTTCAAAATGAGTTACGTTGTGTATTATTGAGAAAATCACTTCAATTATCTAACTCAAGCAATTAGTAATTTTCCTATTTTTGAGGTGTCAAATAAAATGGACACATCATAAGACCGATCAAGAATAATATTCACAGCAACAAAAAAATCAATGAAATGTTAAAATAAACACAACAAAAATTCAAAGAAATGATAAACAAACACAAAGATTTACATAAAAACTCCAAATTGGAGAAAACACAACCAACATTTAAGCTCAATACTAAAACCTTCCACTAATTACCAAAAAATTCAGCACGTATAACCATCAATCTTCTCTTAATCAATTAGTGGCATACATGGGAACATCAAAAAATTAGTAGAGTAACAATGACTATTTTACCGATATCAAAAAGCCAAACCAATAATTTCACTGTTGGATATGAAGAAGAGGACGCTTGGGAAAAATTTCACCCCAATTAGAAATCATCTCATCATCAATCAGCGCACTAAACTTGTGTTGCACCTCTCTTTTTCTTCTCTTCATCCGTATAGACTTTCACTCTGTTTCTTCTCTTCTCTACGACTGTGACATACTATAAACGCAACCACTAACTTTTTTGGTGTAACACCCTAACAAGCATAATCTATTTACCATGATTGAACGATTTTGAGTTAGCATCAAATTGGTATTTGTTGTTAGAATGAGTGTCGTTTACTAGGGGGTGAATAGTGAATCACGAGAATATTGGTGAATTTTCGCGAAATAAAATCGTAGGAAAAAAATTAAGTGCGGAATTACATAAGCATAAGGAAAGAAAACACCGATATACACTGGTTCACCACAACGTGTGGCTACGCCCAGTCCTTCGATAGACTCTTTCGAGCTACACTACTTCCGTTAAACTTACGAGTGCTTAACAAACCGTTACAACCTGAGAACTCGAGTCACACGAGCCTCAACACACTTACTCAGAGATACCGCACTCCAAGACTTCAATCTGAAGGAATATAGAATATACCCTTCCTTCGTACAACCAAGGGAGCAAACCTCCCTTTAAGTGTTTACAACACTCAATCACTCAAGAACAAAAACTCTCTTAAAGAGTAGAATATCAGTAAATTATTTTAGATCAAGAACACACTTGATCAATTCCTCAAGAAATGACTCTAAAAAGCCATGTAAAAAGTTTATGGAATGATGCAAAGTAAAGTTATGAAATGTGTGAGGAATGGTTGTGAAAAGTAGACCTAAGAGACCCCTTCTTATACCCAAAAACAAGGTGCAACAGTTGGGAGACGATTGGGGTCGATTGGCATGATTTGTGGAAATCAAATCAAAAGTGGATCTACTGAAATCTAGCCTAACATCGATGATCATATAGTGACCACCGCTGTTTTGGCATAGACTTTCATTTGGAAATGGCAAACGGTCATGAGAACATCAATGTTTTGAAGGCTACATCGATGTTGGGGTTGTTGACTTTCAATAATGAAAACATTTTGTCTTAAATACCCCTACGGTCAATTAAAAACATCGATGTTCACCAATGAACATCGTTGTTCCAAAACCTACAGACAAAAACTGACGTGAGCCAATCTGGCCAAAACATGGATGTTCAAAGTCCAACATCATTGTTTTGAAACCTACTTCCATGGCCAAAACATCGATGTTTAATGTCCAACATCGTTGTTGGGTTTGGACGCTAGAACCATGGTTTGGCACTCAACGCCGAAAACCTATGCTAACAATCAACGTTTCCCAAATTAAAAACTAAGTACTAGAAACACTTATTTAATGTATTTTAGGTAAAAACAAAGATAAAAACTAAAAAACCATGTCATTTAGGTGAAAACCATGGATGACCAAGTTAAAAGTGGTTTTCATGGTTTTTGAGAAAAATCCAAAAACGAAAGGTGGTTTTTAGAATGTTTTTGTTGGAAAACCATTTAGATATACTCTGAAGTAAAAACCAATTATAAAACTTAAAAACCACTTGGTTGTTTCGGACGCTAAAATCGATGCCAAACACCAGTGCCGAAAGCCGATAACCAACGCCAAAAATCAAAGGTTATGGTTTTTGAAAACTAATCATTTGGAAACCTTTAAAGGTGTCCAGAAGAAAAAAAAAGATAAAAATAAAAAACCATTTGGCTAAATTCAATGCCAATAACGAACGCCGAAAGCCGAACGCCATAGCCAAACACCAATAACTTCCAACGGCTAATTTAGCCGTTACACAACATATAAAAAAATTCTTTAATTATTTTTTTATAAGTATCAAACCCAATCTTCAATCTTCTTCACATCTTTCCTTTCTTCAAACTCCAATTCTCAATCTTTTTCACATCTTTCATTTCTTCATTTTTTGTTAACATGAATCCCTCCAGCTCCAGTTTTTCCCCCAATGAACCTCTACCAGGCGGAGTCGGTTCCGGAGACTCAACCAGAACCATCGGGAACACAAAAAAGTGCAGACTGGAAGAGTCATAAAGCGAATTGAAAGGCGACAAACCAATGACCAAGGTGGCACGATCAATCCAAAAGTGGACGCCGGAGGAAGAGTCCTTTTTGGCATCGGCTTGGGTTGACGTCTCCGAGCATCCTATCGTTGGTAAAAATTATATGTTTTCTAATATATTTGTGTTCTTATCTATATATTTGTGTTAAAAAAAGTTCGTTCAATTATATACTTTTTAAAGGTTCAGAGCAGACGAAGGATGCAATGTCGGATCGTATCGAGGAGAAGTTCTTTGCAGCGATGAACAAGGATGCCTCGTATCATACCTGGGACCAACTCACTCCGAAATGGGGCCACATCAATTGTAAAGTCTGAAAGTTTATCGGAGTTTACGAGGAATGCTCTTAGTCCCGGAAGAGCGGGACGCACGACGCTGATGTTCTCCAGATTGCCACGACCCGGTATCAATTAAGATGACGGGCACCAAGGTAAAGTGCCCATCGATCTTTGGAGAATTTTAAGCCGTTCACCGAAATGGCAACAACTCAACAATCCTGATGTTGAGGTTGAGGTCGATGATACTATTGGTTCGTCCGAACAAAGGCCTCCCTTCAACGTAGACGATTCCGATGATGAGGATCTCATTCCACGGCCGATCAGAAGAAAAAAGGCAAAATCCATTGTCTCGGGTTCTGGAAGGTCTGGCTCTATGTCTTCTCATGACGATATCGGTCGTGCAATGGTTAAACAACTTCAATTCGTGTGTTTAATATTAGAGAAGAAGAGAGGGAGAGAAGAAAGCAACAGAAAAAAGAGATCAAGATAATGGGAACCGACCTTGATACATTATCGGGCTTCAAACGTATGATCTCTAAAAGAAGACAAAAAGAGATCAATGCTAAATATAATTTACCTTAGTTATTTATTAATGTATTTTTTTATGAAATATTCTCGTTTTAATTTTATTAATTTAATGAATGTAATTTTTTTAAATTATTCTCGTTTCAATTTAATTAAATAATTAAATAATTAAATAATTAAATTTTATTAATTTAGTTTTAAAAGATGTTTATTTAAAATGAAAAATAAATGTTTGAAGCTCTAGTTTGAAGCCACGGGCTTCGAACCCATTTCCAGTGAATGTATGAGGTAAGTTAAAGCTGACTTGACAGAGAGAAACTTTGAAGTCCCGAATTGAAACCCCGGGGCTTCATACGTATTTCGAGTGCTCTAAATATTTCATGATGAATAAAGTACTCACACTATAACAATTTATACATTCCTCTCAACTTATGTAATTTTAGAGAGTTATCAAACTAATTAGGGTTTTTTGAACGTGTGTCTTTCCACCCAAGAAAAGCTAACCTTAACTGCATATGTATCCCGTTTGGATTGTTACAAGACATTAATGGCCTACTTCCGTTTCTATTTGTCCCCCTCTTTAATTAATATGTGGCTTCCTCCTCGGGCATTCGGTTTCTTACATTAATATCTTATATATATATTCATCTTTAATTTTTTCATTTTTTAGTGTTCATTAAAAAGGAAGTATAAATTGTTGTGTTCTTCAATTAGGCAAAAAATTATAAAATTATTATTAATTCAAACACAACAAAGCGCACAAACCTAGCTATGCTAAGCTGGTGAGGCAGTAACAAATTAAATATGGCTCAACAAAAACATTGTTGTTGTTGTATTAGTTTTTATTTCTCAAGGGTGTTGGTTTTCCTCGTCTCCTCCATGTTGTTATCTTCATATAATAACGCTATGGAATTCGATGTTGGTGGCAACGAGGGGTGGGTTGAAAACCGTTCCGAAAGTTATAACCATTGGGCTGCCCGTATGAGATTTCAAGTTAATGACACTCTATGTAAGTCTCTTCTAAATTTGGAACCCTATTCGAATTTGAATACGAGCATTGTTCGCAATAGTTTTAACATTTAAAAATTGTTATCTCATGAAATATAACATTTCGTTCCAAAATCATAATTGTATGTGCGGTTTAAAAATACTACTAGACATCATTAAAACAAACCATAATTGGCAAGATGTACTGATGTAGTAATGAAATTACAATACCGAGTACATTAGATCAACCCTGCTAGGTACGCCCAAAGGTTTACAAAATGATTTATATTGACCCAAAGGTTTGTACTTAGAATATGATTTATATTGACACAAAATGACAGTGCGATCGTAAAACTTTACACTGATATTTTGTATCAATATAAACAATGAATATCACACTACGTAGACACAAAACATTAGTGTAAACCTTTGGTGTATATTTTGGGTACAATCTTTAAATGTACTTTTTGGTTATAGACTACGAGTAGATTTATTCATATTAGATTTGGTTGCCCTGAAGTGTTTAGGTACGAGGAAGGACGTGATTCGGTGTTGGAGGTGGAGGAGGGAGATTATGACAAGTGTAACACCGACACCCCTATCCGCAAAATGGGCGATGGATATTCAGTTTTCGAGTTGGACAGATTCGGGTCCTTTCATTTCATCTCTGGAAATCGAGAAAGTTGCGAAAAGGGACAAAAGATTGTGGTTGTTGTTGTCACGGTGAGAAACCAAAGCACTCCCGTCACCGCTCCGGTGGCCAAGGGTTGTCCCTCAACGGAAAAGCCATCACCGCCAGTAACTCTGGTGGAAGAGTCCCCTCCGACTCCGGCGGCCAAGGGGTGTCCCTCAACGGCAAAGGCACCACCCGCGGTTGCGCCGCCTATGATTCCGCCGGAAGTGTCCCCTCCGACTCCGTCCGGTGCCACTTCTCATGGGTGCCCGAACACTCCACCTGCGGCCAATGTTGCACCAGTAGCAGAGCCTCCTAACAAAGGGTCCCCGGTTCTCCCCCCAAACACTCCATCTTCGGATGTTGAGCCGGTGGCAGAACCTGATGAAGTGGCCTCGCCGCCATCACCTCCGCCGGGAGAGGGTTGCAACAGTTCAGACATCCGAAGTGATCCAGCCAATGTTCTCCGCAAACCGCCAAAGTCGTTTGCGGCAGCACCAGCGGGGACTCGAATTTCAGCGGCCTTGGTTGTGGCCATCATGCTTGCCATATGCATATAGTAAGATATGGAGAACTCGTTTCTTCTTTAAAAACATATATATGTATTCGACTTTCATGTTAACAAAGTATTCTCGGGGATAAAATTCTCCTAATAATACCATGCAACTTCTTTAGTGTAATCTTTCTGTTAACACATTAATGAAATTGCTCACTTTTTGCCAACGAGAAAATGTCAGTGACAAGCATATATTGTTGAAGTTCATTGCATAATCAGAATTTGGTACAACATTAAAACCACATGCCTTTTTTAATAAATAAATATTCCAGGGAGCTAGATGAAAGCTAGGCTGGTACATACGCATTACAGAATGCAGAGGCTATGATTAAATAGATCTCATCAAAAGATCCACCACCGTCTTTGCCTGTGGGGTTTCTGCACAAATTTATCAAATTGATTATTATTACTTGGAAGAAAGTGAGAGCTTAGGGTCTCAAGATAACTAACTAACTGTACAGAAACATCATCTTTATTTATCTTCAGAATCATTTCTAAGATTGGTTGGTTTGCAACATGAAACCAGTTTGGGATCAGCTAATCGAATGCTCGTGTAATGACCTATAATTAAAGAAAAAATGGCCTCTGAATTTGCCTAACAAGTAAGCAAGATGTACAAGAGCATGATACCCTAACAAAGGGGATTCGATCTGTTATGAAAAAATCACCCTCAATAGATAAATAAACAAATAAATAAACAAATAAACAAATAAACAAGTGTCTTGATTCGAAATCATGAAACATATCACATGCAAAACGTTTCCCGATGACACCACTCATTAAGTCACTCATTCTGATCACTTGATACCAAATTATTTCATTTTAATACAAAGTACTTGACAATTCTGATTAATTAATGCTCCCTCTGTCACCCCAAAATTTGTCTTCACTTTCCATTTTAGAAGTCATTCTAAATAAGACTAAAACATAGAGAAAAGTACCAAAATAGGACTTTCATGTTTTTTTACCGGAATAGGACTTTGCACTGTGGTAATGTGACTTTGCATTGTGGTAATGTGGCAGTGTACATGTGCAGATTACTATACTTTTTTGGTAATGTATATGACCATGTTTGATAATGTAAGTCCTATTTCGGGAATAAAAACATGGAAGTCCTATTTTGGTATTGTTGTGACGGATGTAAGAAAAATAACAAGCAATAAAGAAACGAAAAGAACAAACACACACAGATTTAACGTGGTTCACCAACAATATGTTGGCTACATCCACCTAACAAAAGAGAGGAGAGCTTTTACTGATTGAGGAGAAAGATTACAGAGATCACAGAGGGGTTTTCTAGGTGACTGATCTCTCTATTTGAATGGCTTACAAATGAACCTATTTATAGGAAAGATGGCAGCCAACTTGGCTGCCTAAATCCAGTGGGACCTGAGCTGTTGACAGCCCAGAATACTGCTGTCATACAGCTGGCCCACCTCACCAACTAGCAACCCACTTGCCCAATTGTCTAGGCCTCCTTCCAGCTACTTTCCAGCCAGTTTACAGCCACTTTCCAGCTGGTTTCCAGCCACTTTCCAGCTGGGAGCAGCCATTGTTGACTAGTCAAATAGGTTAGAATTCAAGGCATTCCAACAAATCTCCACCTTGACTTTAATTCTCTCAAAAGACAGCAGAAGCACCAGAATCAGATGTGCAAAGATATCAAATTTCCTCTCAAAAGTGACCAATTGTACCATAGGTACCAGAAGTCTAACCTAGGACACAGATGTCACCAAAAACAAAAACATTAACAGATTGTTTCACTTGAGTTCAAAGGTGTCGCGACACACCAAAAACGGTTTCCCTCACGCCTGGAGACGGATAACTCAAGTTGAAACACCAAGAAATGCAAACTCAACCTAGAGTCCAAATGGCTCTTTATAGAACCTGAACAGAAACATATGACACTAACCTAGTGTCCCAGATGACTCCTGAAGCCCAGATTGCCCCATATTATCACCCCTTCCCGGGGTGTAGCATGCCTCACTAAGGCGTAGAAACAGATGATTCTTCTAGGTGTGCAGATGGAACCTCCACCTTAACATCAAGACTTTCATCACCTCTATGAATCTCAGATGATGCACCAACAACAGAACCTGTAATAGTAGAACCCTGTAGAAAATATAAGGTACCACTTTTAATACCTTTCAGGACCACCTTCGAACCCTTGTAGACACTCATAACTCCACCTTTACCCTGGAAACGGAAACCCTTCCTATCAAGATGAGTCAAAGATATCAGATTCTTTGTCATTAGTGGAACATGTCTTTGTCATTAGTGGAACATGTCTGACGTCGTGCAATGTGCAGAATTTACCATCATGCGTCCGAATCTTGATCGAGCCCATTCCAATCGCCTTGCAGACAACACCGTTGGCCATAGAAATATTACCCTTGTCTATCTGCTGATAAGATGAAAACCACTCTCTCCTTGGACATATATGGTAGGATGCCCCAGAGTCAAGAACCCACACATCAGCATGATGAGTGTGTTCGTCTGCCACCAAAGCAATGTCCTCTTCGGAATTGGTGCCATCTACCGCTACCGCAACAGATTCTTCGGGTTTCTGCTCCAACTGTTGGTTTCTTTTCTTCGGGCATTCATTCTTCCAATGCCCTTTCTCCTTGCAGTAGTTACATAAATCATTTGCTTCCGGACCCTTGTAACCTGGCTTCTTGAATTTCTTCTTGTCATGTTGTCCATGTCCATTGCTTCCACTGGCTATCAATCCAGCGGCCTGATTATCTGTTCCTACACCAGTCGCCTTATGGCGCAACTCCCTGGTATGAAGAGACGACCTGACCTCTTCCAGAGACACAGTATCTTTCCCAACGATGAAAGATTGTACGAAATTCTCATACGACAATGGTAGTGAAACCAACAAAATTAAGGCAGCATCTTCATCCTCTACCTTAACATCAATATTACGCAACTCCAAAAGAATTGTATTTAATTGATCCAGATGGTCTGTAAGAGGGGTACTTTCTTGCATTTGGAGACCGAACAGACGTTGCTTCAGAAGCAACTTGTTGGTTAAAGACTTTGTCATGTATAGACTTTCCAACTTCAACCATAGACCAGTGGCAGTTTCTTCATCTGCGACCTCAGTGATGACATCATCTGCAAGACACAACATGATAATGGAATGTGCCTTCTCCTCCAAAGCAGCTAACTCAGCATCGTTCGACCTGGCTTCCTTTGATAATGGTGTCCATAAGCCTTGTTGTTTCAACAAGGCTCGCATCTTGATTTGCCATAGACTAAAGATGTTCCTCCCCGTGAATTTGTCGATCTTTATGTTTAAAGCAGACATCTTTCTCACCAAATTACAAACCTCGATTACCCGAGCTCTGATACCAGTTTGTTATGACGGATGTAAGAAAGATAACAAACAATAAAGAAACGAAAAGAACAAACACACACAGATTTAACGTGGTTCACCAACAATATGTTGGCTACATCCACCTAACAGAAGAGAGGAGAGAGATTACAGAGATCACAGAGGGGTTTTCTAGGTGACTGATCTCTCTATTTGAATGCCTTACAAATGAACCTATTTATAGGAAAGATGGCAGCCAACTTGGCTGCCTAAATCCAGTGGGACCTGAGCTGTTGACAGCCCAGAATACTGCTGTCATACAGCTGGCCCACCTCACCAACTAGCAACCCACTTGCCCAATTGTCTAGGCCTCCTTCCAGCCACTTTCCAGCTGGTTTCCAGCCACTTTCCAGCTGGGTGCAGCCATTGTTGACTAGTCAAATAGGTTAGAATTCAAGGCATTCCAACAGGTATGTTTTCAATGTTTTAGTCTTACTTTGATTTTTCTCCCCCAAAATAAAGATCTCATCCTTGGTGCTAAAAGGCGGTTCATATTATTTCTCTACCCTCTACATAAATCTTAACAACACAATTTCACATTTTCTAAAACCCCATAAATAAGTAAACAGGGACTTGAATTTGAGGAGGAGAAATATGGATCAACCAATCACAATCATGACAGTGTGGCAGGGCAAATGTAGATTAGAACTACACTCCAAGCAAGGTGAGGAAATTGTGATAAAAGGCTATTGTTGTGTAACACAAAATGAGTAGAGCAATGGGGAACGTTTTAAGGAATATCCTTGATGTTATAAAGTGGAGAAAAAGATATAGATAAATTTTGTGATAAAGAAAAGTAAATCCACCTTTTGGGCATCATTCTTTACTAAAATCGGCCGAGAAAGCACACTATTGTCAACATTCTGAAGGTATGGCCGCACCTTCTCTTCCAGCATTTTGTTCAGCTGTTCATTAAATGTTAGGGGTTACTACTAGGAGAGAAATTCATCAATCAAAAAACATAGCAACAGATAAAAGTTGCATCAAGCCACTAAATAATTGCAAACATCTGAGGCAAGAGTGCAAGACAAGGGAATGCACTGTTAATCCACAAAATATCCATAATTGTAGCAATATGCCAAAAACAACATAGGATGGTTCTATATTACACAAAGGAAAGGCAAATCAAAAGTTAATGTTGACTAGGCGCAGAGGAACAAATTTTACATCATCCAGACAAGAAATGGTGCAGCAGAAAACGATAATCTAAAGAGACTGACCTTTTCTTCCCGCCACTTAGCTTCCCACTGAGCATCCAGCATCTGCTCTGCAATTTCTCTCTGGGCATTAAGAAGAACCGTCATTTCATAGAATCTTGTTGGATCTTTGAGATCTTCTTCACTCCAAGAAGATGAACTGAGTGGAAGGTTCAACTCCTGCAGGCGGTTTCATTATAGAATCATTGACAAACATAGATCTTTTCTAAATATCACACAACACATTGCATAGAAATACCTAAGCTTTCCAAATTTCATATGGCTAGTTGTAAGATTGGTAAGCATAAACTAGCAGACATAATAACTAAATTGGCCTAGTCACCCATGGTTAAGGCCAATGCAAACATTGGGCCCATAATCTTCCAAAATGGTCCTTTTAACCTTACATTTCTCTTTCCCTAATTCCCTTATTTCATATGCACCCTGAATAGCGTGCAAAGTCAGCATGTTACAAAAAAACCAAACACACCTAACACTTGGAAGTAGGGTTGTAAACAAATCTAATCATTCAAAAAAATATGAATATAAATCCGGATCAGATTCACATTTTGATTCGAATAGATTTCAAATAGGAATATGAATACATGCACATTCAATTCAAATAATATTCTAATATAGGGTATTAAATATTAAAATAAAATTTCATATCTACTACACACATATATAAATACATACATACATACATAAATACACACACACACACACACAATTGCATATACACCATTTATTCTTAATAAATTACATTTGAAAACTTATGCTTGTTCCAAAAACAAAGTATTTGTACTGAGAAATTTAATACTCATTATATTTTATGTCTCCAAGAAAGTGTCCCAATCAAGTTAAATATATTAAATATAGCTAAACCAACAACATCACCCCAGTGCCTCAAAGACTCCCACCCATTGCAGTGCAAGGGGGCTCCTATGTACTCAGCCTAATCCCTATGCTTAAAAAGTAGAATGATTGTTTAAAGATGACCCATGATGAACGTCGAAAGTTAAGTGGACTAATTTCTACTTTACTATTAAAGAAGTGCAGACATTTAAAGAGCCATTTTGCTTTATTCCATCATAGCCGAAAGCCAAAAATAGTGAATCTTTGGCTCCATTGGAGAAGATGGAAATAAATAAAGCAAAACCAATAAATGAATTTAAAAATATAGCTATAAGCGCTTGTTTTCAACTGTTATACTTTGGTAAACCGTGAGTTAAGTGTACTAAAAGTTTCATGAAATATTAAATGTTGAATGCTAATATTCGAATTGAATCAAATATATACAAATAAGATAGTCAGTTAGAATACGGTTTGATTTTGAGATTCGAAAATTAAATGAATATGAATTAAAATCCTCTACATTAATCACATTTGAATCGAATATCTCGAATTTGATCCAATTCATTTAAAACCCTGTGTAGAAGTGTTCTGAACTACCTTCTTGATAGAAGTAAGGCGAATGCACCAGATCAACTAAAGACCAGTACTATTAATCCTGGTCATAAATCAATAGAAATTTACCCCTCTTTGAGAATTATCGTAGCAGAATTATTTTCTTGAAGTTATAGTAATTCAATCATGAGAAGCTTAGTCGCTTAGAAGTGGTCGCATTTAAATCAAATCAAGCAAGTAGACTTACTCCCCAATCTCGGGGACGTGGCGGAGGGTCAAGCTTCATTACTTCAGCTTCTAGCACCTTCTTAGCTCTGTAATAAGGGATATTTTTTACAACAACAGGATCATCCCTAGCACGGACAGGATCGATTGAAATCAAGGCCTGAAATAAAAGAGTCAATGAAAATACGTGCAATACAATCATGAGACATGTATCACAAGAAGTCGCCATACATCTTGCAAGTACTCCCACCCTGGCTTCCGCTTGGCAACCTCATCTCTCAGATGATCGTATCGCATAGATTCCTAGAGCATGGAATAAGAAACACCATGTGTTGCAAACGCATTCAGGAATTCACAACAAATTAGATTTAAAAAGCTTCAATATGGAAAATGTATCTTGCATCAGAACAAGTTGAGATTTTGCATATAAATTTTAAACTCTATCATGTTATTCATTTTCAAATTTTTAAAAAGCTAATTTACTAGAAAAAAATTAAACTAAACTTTCTAGTAATGATGTAAATGTTAATTGGAGAAGCATAGAATAATTATCATGTTAAATAAGTGAATACAGTGGTCATTAGACTCATTACATAGGAGTCTTCCTAGTATTCATGGCAAGTCGTGAACCTTCTAAACTGGTGATAAATGTACTATCTTCAAAGCCACAACACTCAAACTAGTAAGCAAACACCAATTAATTGGAATGATTGAAGACTCACTCCCAAGCTGGAGTACGTATATGTCACACCAAAAAATTAACACCACTTCCTGACACCAGTGGTTTTAGGGCACCTTCGGTGCATCGTAACCCCTAAGTCTAACCCCCGACCCATCATTTTCACCCTGCCCCACCCCAGACCCCCTATTGTGGCTTTGGTGAGCTTTGTAGTGTAGTGTGGTGAGCTTTGCATCATCTCACCGAAGCATGTTATCTCACCATATGGTGTCATCTCACTGGAGTCAATCTCATATATATATATATATATACTCCCTCCGTCCCCCATAGATCTTCCCAATAGCCTTTTTTCTTTGTCCACAATAGATCTTCTCATTTCATTTTTTAACAATTAAAATACCACAACTACCCCCACTTACTTTAATTATTACACCTTACCCACCTCATTTAATACACTCCACCCATTTTCATTAAGGGTATTATGGTAAACTTTCACCTTTTTTCAACTCTCCTTAAAAACCGCAAAAAGTCAAAATGAGAAGATCTTAGGTGGACGGAGGGAGTATATATATATATATATATATATTCATATCATGGCCAACTTGTTACCAAGTAGAACTTATCAGAGTGCAGGCTGGGCCAAATTACGGGTCGGGCCAAGCCGCTCCATTATCAGAATTTCGTAGATCAGAGCCCGATCTGCCCACATAGCGGGTCTAACATTTGAATGAGGGAAACAATGAATGAAAAAAACATGTAGTGAACACAGTCAGCCCAAAACTATTTCGACTTGCATTTGGAACAAAAGAGCACTTGTTACAAACAAGTGGCTGTTTATTTCTTTCAAGTACCCTATTTTAAGATATCTACACAAGAGGTTTGATGCACGGCCATTCAGAAGCATGTATGGTTTTGAGGCATCAGTAAAAATAATCCTTAGCATTATCCACTCTCAGTTTACAAACAAAACCTTAAAATTGAGTCTTAATATGGGCAAAATGGCACAAAATGAGGGAAAACTATTTGCATCTACTCTTCATTAATTATAACCATGTCATGAGAGAGCAATTATCAACTAAAGTACCAAAATATTGGAAAGACTTAGAACTTGTTCTCTTCAACTTATTTTTATTGGAATCAGATCAGACAAGACCAGATCAAAAATAGCTTTAAATACAAGTACAAGACCAGACAAGATCAGAACCAATCAGATAAGGTGAAGAGAACAAGCCCTTAGATAGGCTTAGATACAACAAGACAAGCACCCCAAATGTTAGTGAGAGAAATTTCAAAAAGGGCACTAGCGAGTTTATTCACTTGAGAACTCAAACTAGTGTGATGATGAATTGGAAACTAATAGGACTGGCATTGTAAAAAGGACATATTATGAAACTAGTGAGATACTTTCTTCAACATGGAAAGAATGAGCAGTTGACTTCAAATGAAGCTCCTACTCAAAGACACAATGTAGCTGGTGGTATTTAAGTGTCTAATAGGTAAAGATGGAGACTCGTGTCGATTACCTATAATCTGTATCATCAGAGTCTTATATCCAAAATAATCAGGGACAAATGTTATGGGACGATTGAGTGTTCACGTAATGTTACAGATAGAAATTATGTTAAAAGTAAATTTAGGGAGACTTGAGCCAAATTATAATGATAGCCTGGGTGTCAAAATGACAGTAATTGATCAAAGGATGGGTCAAGGGTGAAATGAAGTTATCTGCCAGGGTAACATTAATATGATGGGAGTCATGGAAAAATGACGTGAAATGATTAGGATTATCAGTGAGATGACTCACATGATCCCATTGCACTTGAGCCGACCATCCATGTCGATGATGAAGAAAGGTTTTTGTATTACCTGAATTGACGATAGCATAGATAGGAGTAGTTGAAAGCTGAAGACTCTCTTGGTAATTAAGAAACTCGGTTTACTCATATACAGAGAGTGTGACTGTAGTAGCAACATGAGTTTCACTTGGATTTTATATTTTAATGCAAGAATGTTTTATCAACTACCAGGTTTCTTACCAAAGTTGCATATGATCCTTTTAGCCGGTGCAACCACTTATGCACTTCCAGTAGCAATTTGATTTAAAAGTGCATTGTTGGATGAAGGAGATTGAGGGATGGATGTGATTTCAGTGTGGATCATTCAACTAAATGCATCCTAGAGAGAGGAGATTTCTTCACTAGACAAGAAATGGGATATAGCCTTTTCAAACTCAGAAGTATGACCCGCCAGAGAACTCAGAACTGCCATTTGTTGTTCCCGTAGTCACGTTGTTTTTGTTGGACTTTAATGTCTGGAATAAAAAGGCATCATGTTTCTCTTACACACTTTATAATATATATGTCAGCTTTCCTGACCGGAATACATGAATTCAAGATTGTCAGAGAGGTCCTTGAAAGCTTTGCAAAGACTAACACGGCATGTCATTTCCTTTTTAATGGAACTTTGAATTGGAATGAAAAGTTTAAATCACCACGGAGCCATAAGTTTTTGGCAACCGCATCTTGTGTGAGTTGTTCTTTTATCAAATGATCATATTTACTGATGCTACAGAGACAGTCTTTTAAAACTTTTGACCGGGAGATAGGGAAACGTTCTTTCATCAAATGACCATAATTATCAACGCTACGGAGATAGTATATGATTATCTAGCTCCACGCTAGGAACTTTAGTTTGGGATTTAGGCAAAAGTTCTTTCATCTTGTGTGGGTGGTTCTTTCATCAAATGATTGTCGTGCTCCACATTAATAATATCAGTTTACAATGAATTAATATGACAAGTTTACAATGATCGATTGAGGGTCCGAAGAGGAGTAGAGGTAGACCTAGAAAGATTTTTATGGAGGTGATTATACATGACCTACAAGTTCCACAATCCAGATCTAAACGAGGATATGACCTTAGATAGGAACGCTTGGAGATCTAGCATTAGATTATCAAGGTACACCTGTGGGCCTTAGTTTGTAGTTTCTTCAGGTGCATTTTTTGCCTTAGTCTATAATGTGTGCTTGTGTGTTTTTGGTGCTTTGTGCTTTTCGTCTAGTTCTTATAGTCGGCTTGTATGCTTCTTTTGTCTATGATCGTACTTTATTCGTGCTTAAGTGCTTTTTTATTCGTACTTCTATATCTGGAGGTCTCTTGGAAAACGCACCTCTACTTCATAGTTGGGGTAAGGTCTGCGTACACACCCTCACTCCTCAGACCCTGTTTTTGCGGGATTCTACTGAGTTTGTTGTTTACCATGATTTCATATGGACTAACAACAACAACAACAACCCAATTAAATCTCACTACAGTAGGGTCTGGGGAGGGTGTGTGTACGCAGACCTTGCCCCTACTCGGAAGTAGGGAGGCTGTTTCCAAGAGACCCCCGACTCAACCTGCACAAAAATATGGAAGGGAACACAGTATAACACGGGTAAAGAGCCAAGTACAAGCAACAAGTACAAGCAATAGCAAAAGATTCCAAACAAACACAACATACTACAAACAACCTCTACAGCACCGAGCTCCTATCCAGCTACTCTAATCCTAGTTCTCCAAAGGTTCCTATCTAAGGCAATATCCTCAGTTAGGGTGAGAAGTCCTAAATCCTACCTAATCACCTCCCTCCAATTCTTCCTAGGTCTACCCTTTCCCCTACTTCCCCCGATAACCGTAACCCTCTCGCATCTACGTACAGGGGCGTCAGCATCCCGCCGTCTCAAATGACCAAACCATCTAAACCTTGCTTCCCGCAACTTATCTTCCACCTGTGCCATGCCTACCTGACGTCGGATAACTTCGTTCGAAATCCTATCCAACCTTGTCTTCCCACACATCCATCGTAACATCCGCATCTCCGCCGCATGCAGACGACGCACATGAGTCTTCTTAATTGCCTACACTCTGCCCCATATAACATAGCAGGTTTGACTACGGATCGATAGAACTTACCTTTCATCATGGGCGAAATCTTCGGATCACACAACACCCCTACACCCCTGAAGCTAACCGCCATTTGGCCCAAGCCACTCCAACACGATGTCCAACATCCCCATCTAACTCCCCATCAGCCTGGATTACCGAGCCAAGATAACGAAACCTGTCTACCTTAGGTACTAGGTGAGAGTCAATCCTAACTTCCACTTCTGATTCTGTTTCTCGACCGCTGAAACGACATTCCATGTTTTCAGTCTTGTTCCTACTAATTCTGAATTCTTTAGTCTCAAGGGCAAGGCGCCATAGTTCCAACTTATCGTTTAGCCCCTCACAACAATAGAGTTAGTAAAAACATAAAGGAGATTTTGATTTTAAGAAATTTGTCATATTAGTAGTCAACTTTCTAGTTTGTGTTTGCCCGAAATCAATTGTCCACTTTATACATTTAAAAAGAAATTATGACAAATTCTCTAAAATATCCTAGACTCCTAGAGATAAGGTATGAGCTTTGTTGACATGAATGAGTGACACACTCATTTGAAAGACTTGTTTGACATTTCACACTCATTTCTTAAAAAAGAGAGTTTTAAGAAAATTAGCAACTAATTTTGGACGGAGGGAGTATATATGAATATTATAAGCAATTCCATATACTCTATCCGTCAAACAATTTACTTCCGATTTTGCCCAGGCACAGATATTAAGGAAAGTTGAAACTTGTGTTGACTTTCCTATAATACCCTCCACTCTTTCGTTATTGAACTGAGCCAACTATGGCTATGGTGGTTCGCACCACCGCATCACCTTCGTCCTTTGTTGGTGAAATGCTAAGGCGGATTATCTTTCTTCACTCAACCAAAGTAGTCATTCTATTTCATTTATTTAAAAAATACTCGGTTGGTGAAGTGCGCCATATTAAAAAACCAAATCTGAAAATTGAAAATAGAGGAGATCAGAAATGGGAAACTAGGTGGGTTGACGAAGAAACACGGTGCTGCTAAAAAAAAGTCAATCCCGTTCAAGAGGGGAAAGTTGTCGACTCCATGCCCAGCCTTGCTCAACAATGAAGGGATTTTTGTTCAGATCTCAGTATCTCACGGAGATCTATAGATTTTTTCTTCCGGGATTCACATCCGCCACCATTGCACTTCCTAAGCTCCTTAAGATCCGGCGATCAACACTGCTACTCCAGCACATATGAGACTTAACGAAGAAGAAGATGATGATGAGTTGAAGGAGTCCATTTGTCTCTATCTATTGGAGAGGTATATGAAGGAACAAAGGAACTCTCTCCGAATTTTAGTTGAACATTGGGGCTATGGGGTGGAAGAATCGAAGAAGAAGATGATCGAGTTGAAACAGTGGGGTTGTGAGGTGGAAGAATCCAAGAAGAACCGAATAAGTTAAATTTTTGGAGTGAGGCTGTTGGGGAAAGAACTGAAGAAGAAGATGAGGGTTGTGGGTGGGGTTAAGTGGCGAATTTCGAATTATAAGGGTAAATATGTCATTTAACATAACATAATTTGCCAAATAAGAAAATGGAAGAAAATTTATGGACAGCCCATAAAAGATAGTGGGAAGATGAAGATAATTTATGGATGGAGGGAGCACTACAATAGGGGGGTCATGTACCAGTCCACTGGCTGTCATACATTCATATGAATCATATGCCTTTTTAAAAAATGCATTACTAAAAACAAATAGCAGCCTATCACGGTGATTAATTGAAACAAAAATTTGAGCAAAAATTGTATTTTTGAAAACTTTTATGAGTGTGCTACATCCCTCTTACTTTCATTTATAAAGCACACCAAATCTTTTACTGGCATTATGTGGCTCTATCTATAAAATTCAAAATGAACTAAATGAGAAGCTAAAAACTAATCATAATATTATGAAAGATGATACAGATATAAGAAGTCCACACCAATGAGGCAATAAAATACAATGAAGTAGAGAGCATGCACAGAAGTAGACCTTGTACTGCCACCAAATCTTCCTCTTGATATCATCATCATATTCAAAACCTCCAACAACCTGAGGCAGGGTAATCAACCAAAATGCTGCAATACTGGGATCTTTCATACTGTCAACTATATGCTGCAATGTAAAGGTCACCGAACTATAAAATTCATATAAATTCAGCAAAACACTGTCAAAAATTAAAGCCATACTGCATGATCAGTTCAAGATCAAAATAGACATTAGCTCAGTCTTCTGGCTTTCAAATTCTTGCAGAGAAATTAAATGAAAACTAAATAATACGGAGTACTCAAAACCAGGAAAACAATAATTTGCATTATTACTCTTGCTCTCTAATTATCAATACTACATGTAAAACAGACACAGAGACTACAAGAATAGTCAAAACTCAAAAGTTTCAAGTCGTTACACTTGCAGGAGCAATTGCAAATAAATTCCATCAATAGCAAGGATGTAGTCCAATAACTGACAAAGAAGTTCAAATTATTGTAAACTACTCCCTCAGTCCAGATTGAAATGTCCACTTTCCTTATTCAATAAAGAAACTAACATTAATGGTCTAAAATGCCCTAGAGATGTGGTATGAGCATTGTTGAATGAATGCGTGAGAAGCACATTTGAAGGACTTCTTTGACATTTTAAACCCATTTCCGTAAAATGACATTTATTAGAAAGTGTACAACTAAATCCGTACAGGGGGGGCAGTAGAATAGAAGACTAAAATGGGTAAGGCCATGAGAGACAACTAACCTCATAAGGGTAGTCTATCTTTTTCATTATGTTAAAAGGTATCCATGGCGGCTCCACTATCTGTGAAGTTGAGAGCGTAAAAACATGAATTTCAGAAGAAAAAAAATCTCAACAAGTTGTAAAATCATCTGAAACTAAACCTTGATGCTCAGCTTACATTATCAGTAGATAGCTTGATTGCTGGCTTGTCTTTGCATTCTGGGCAGATCATAGAGCCCTATATAATTAAGTATACGAGTGATAATGAAATTGCAAATTAGAAAGTGTAAAAACCCTTGATAAAGCTATTTGAAATATTCCTATAGAAGTTTCATAGTTCTCACGGATCCACTACAGGTTGGACAATCTTTAAATGGAAGTGGCACAGGAAGATCCACTGCTGACGGAAAGTGCACTAACTCTGCTCGGTTCTCAGCTATGGCATTTGCAATACATTCCACTGTTGGTTTCTCGGCACTGCAGATGGATCCCAAAATATTAGTAAACAATGGCCTAGAACCAAGGCTTACTATTGATATCTTTCCCCGCATCTGGCCAGGAATGAAGGACGATCGGGGTGTAACAAGCAAGTACCCACCATATCCATCATAGTAGAACAAAAAAGTTTGCAAGAAAATAAAGCAAAGCTGAATGTAGACATTGACCACTGGCAGAAAAGGAGGAGTGAAGAATCTGCAGCTCAGAGTCTTTATAATAAAATTATATAGAACAAAGGAACTGATGAACATTAGTACTTCCTCCGGATGGGGTTTCTGGCTAGTGGCTGCATCTTTTGATGCCAAAGATTCTTGCAATTGAGCAAACTTACCTTTGCAGATGGTAATCTTTCACCTGGTATTGCACCATCCCTGAACCCTTGCACATTGTGCACTGCAAAGCCTTCCAGCCATTGCAGATCCTACAGTCACTACAGTTCAAGAGCAATTTTTCAATAATCGTAGTATAATCTTCAAGTACACTAAGAAAGTTGGTAAGCAATTAAGGCCAGCTACTAGTACTTAACCACCTCGTACAAACAAACTTCTTTCCCAGCTCCAATGCAACATCACAAGTTCCCAGCGTAGCTACTGCCTACACACCATTTCAAGTAAGACTTGTGAATTAGTACATAGCACTTTGAAGAAAAACTAAATTCAAAGCCTCCAAATGACAAATGAACAAACACAAGTCGAGCCATACCGTCAAAAGAAAAGGGCTAATGAAAACAAAGCGCCATGGAATAAGAACGGAGACTTACAAAAATTGCTGAATAAGATAGCTTAGAAATGAATTCGGGGACGCCAAAGCCGCGTTGGGCGGAGCCAGCAATTTCGAAGGGAAGCGTGAAAGGGGTCAATACCACATTTATAGGGAACTCGAAGATCTCCGTGATTTGGGGACCATAGCGTTTCCTGAGGAGGGTGAACTGAAAGTCTGCAAACCTCTTTAGCACGCTCAAGAGACGCGCCACGCCTTGCGACATTATTGTAACTGGAATGGCTAAGTTCAAGACAGTGGGAGAAAAGGTTCAAAGGAGAAGTATATGGTACATTACTATGTAGGTACAAGGTAGTACTCATTTTAATATAAAAATGTGTAGTACTTATTTTGCAAACGTCGTACGAAATACATAATATTCATTTTGAAATAAGGTATTATTCATTTTAAAATAATGAAGTACTCATTTTACATATTTGTTTAGTATAATTATAATAAATAGCATAGTATTTATTTTTATTAAAAAAAGCAATACTTATTCTCAAATAAAAAATGCTCATTCCAAGTTTATGCAATTTCACATGATTTTTACCAAAAGACCAAAAGTGAAAGGTGGTTTTATCAGAAGTAAAAATCAATCATAAGATGTTGGAAACCACTTGGTTGGTTCGGACGCCAAAAACCAACGCCGATACTCGAAAGCCGAACGCCAGTTTCTGAAAACCGAATGTCGGTTTTTGGTTTGTGCGAACACCAAGTTTTTTAGGCTTATTAAAAACTTATGAAAAATGTGTTTGATGATGCATGAAAGACATTTTAATTTAATTAGCCTAGAGAGCCAAATTGTAAAGTCAATGCCGGTCTTGAACACACTAAGACCGATTCAACTATTACTACGTCTTTGTTCGTGGTCCTTGTTTTTAGTTGATTGTCATGCCATGTTTCTTTGCCTTTGATTTGTTCAATACATTCTTGTTTTCGCGGCGATTTGGCATTATCAAAACCTGTCATAAAACGAACACGGTTTTAGTACGATGTAGGCGTAAACCCGTGTTCCAACAATCGTTGTAGGATTGGACCAAATAGTACACTATCTTAATTATTTGAGTCACTTTATATTTGAATCCAGACTATCCAAATCCTTCTCAAACGATTCTCAATTGAACACATATATACGAATCTAGATATATTGCAACAAAATAGAATTAAATTAAGAATCGAATAGAACCAAACAAAACCAAAGTAGTGAGCAAGTATAATACATGTCCCGAACCAAATACTCATTCTATCCTAATCAGAAAGAATTGGTTTCCAAGTTGCAGCTTCGGTAGGGATGCACACAGTACATCCTAAACCAGAAAACGGGATAAATATATTTTAATTTTTGAAGATTGAACACCAAGTTAGAAAATGACGATCTAAAATTATGTAGCTCGGGTTGAGTGTGAGTTTAGACCAAATAATACACTATCTTAATTATTTGAGTCATTTTATATTTGAATCCAGATTATCCAAATCCTTCTCAAACGATTCTCAATTGAACAAATATATACGAATCTAGATATATTGCAACAAAATTGAATTAAATTAATAATCGAATAGAACCAAACAAAACCAAACTAGGAAGCAAGTGTGATACATGTCCCAAACCAAAAACTCCTTCGATCCCAACCCGAAAAAACTAGATAATACGCATCCTAAACTAGAAAACGACATAAATATATTTTAATTTTGGAGGATTGAACACCAAACTAGAAAATGACGATCTAAATTGATGTAGCTCGGTTCGAGTGGTCGTTGTGGGTTTAGACCAAATAATACACTATCTGAAATATTTGAGTAATTTTATATTTGAATCCTGACAATCCAAATCCTTCCCAATTGAACACATATATCTGAATCTATATACATTGCAATAAAATTGAAATAAATTAAGAATCAAATAGAACCAAACAAAACCAAAGTGGGGAGCCAAGTATAATACATGCCCCAAACCAAAAAACCAGAAAGAACTGGTTGATCCCATTGCCGAACGCCAACTTGCAGCATTGGGATGCACGCAGTACGCATCCCAACCACGTCAGTCGCCTGTCCGGCCGCACAATCTTTTGTAAGGAGGGCCATGAAATCCTTAATGCTTCCTCGCTCATTTAGCCCCTTCACCGCCCTCTCCTACCGCATGCGGCGTTTTCTCAGCAGGGCACCTCTGGGTTCTTCAGGTTTTTCATATCTTTTTCCTCTTCAAACATGTTTCGGTTAGAATTTGAACAGGTGGACTTTGAATTACACAATGATGTTGCGTTGTAGTCTAGTTTGAATCCGCCATAACTTATCGAGCTTACTAATGGTGTTGCTTCGCATATTACTCTTTTCTACCACGGTGTGCGTATCTTGTAGTTTATCTAAAATTTCCATCCGGATATATACTCTGTATTTATAGCAAGTGTTTTTTTCTTGAAATTTCAATCCGTAGGTAAGTGTAGGGTGCGATCAAAGTGGATATGGAATTTGAAGTTTAGCACCAAAAAGCATATGGAAGAGGTCTTCAAGGATAAAGTATAAGTTTGTTTTTTAGGAATCACACAGCCCAACTCTCACTTAGGGCACTTAAAAAGAAATTCTCACATAGAGCTACTTATAGAATTTGATTTAAGACTCACTCATAACCAAACCGCTACAATGAGAGCCACTTTTAAGATAAAGAAGTTAGATATTGCTTGGAAAATTACTCTTTCACAAGAACGTGTAAAACTCCAATTTTTATTATAAATTTCGGAGATGTTCTTTTCTGTTATAACGAGAGCCATAATTATAGTCAAGACACATCATTAGTTCTTGCTATTAACAAGAGGAAAAACACTATAAAATCAAAAGGCAAAGGATAACAATACAAAATACAAAGGAAATAGAGTCCAAGTGATGTTTGTCCCTGTCTTTGCTCTTATTTTGGCGATGGTATGCCGTATGCGTGTAGCTTGTGATTTCCAAAAGATTCCTTAATTAGCTCTCAAATTTATCCCACATGTGCTCCTTTCGTATGCTTGTATAGCCGTTTTAGACAATCAAAATATGTAATGAATAGTTCAGCACCGCACGTGCTAGTCAAATCCAAAGAACACTCCGCGATCCATTCCTGTGTGCTAATCAATTAGCTAAACCATGTCTTTGTCTAGATTATACTTGAGAATTTTGTCCACCCCTCATTCATATGGAGTCTTGATGTTTATTCCTAAAAGTCAAGACTATTTTGTCATGTTGCAGATTTGCGTTGATATACAAAGATAACAATGTGTGTGTGTGTGAGAGAGAGAGAGACTGTCATAGTGTCATATTGCTCTCACCCATGTATGTTTTTCGCAACACACCAATTGATTTTTATCCCTTGTGACAATGTACTTCAATACTAGCTGATTTGCTGCATGGTTATTTAAGCAGCTTTCGGAATATGTAGTGCAACACAGGCTCTACAGGGTGGTGTTGACACTTTTATGAAGGGAGTAGGAGGCAACTCAGACAAGGATACAATTGAACATGTGAAACGTGTTATTGAAATGGTATATTGTTACTTTGCATGTTCGCTAACATATTAATTCTGTGTCTTTTATGTTTACTCTTCTTTTTTCCCCTTCTCAACAAGTAAAAGATTTGATCATCCCAAAATCATCATGAAATAATTTTGTTGAAGGGTCTCCTAGCCTATCACGCAGACATTCTTAATAGGTATATCTTATGTTCATCACAGATAGAGCGGGCAGCATCAAAGAGGGAAGTTTTACACACAGATTTTCTCACACCACCTGTACTAAAGGAGTCGATGTTAACATTAGGAAAGTTAGACCATGTCAAAGCTATTGCTCAAGGAGGGTACCCAGAGGTTAGATTATTATTATTATTTTCCTGCAAAAAGAATGATTTTGTAAATGAACTCTTAGCTAGCTTAAAGTCCTAGGCTGAGCGTTGTAGACTCTCAGTTGGACATCCGAAGTTATTAGCAACTGATCCAGATATTGTTTATGCCATAAGGTAGATCAAACTCTAGTCTCAAATCTATCATTTACTTCAGATTTTATCTCAATCATCAAGTCAAATTCATTGCTGTTTTAGTGTTATTGATAAATGGGCTTGCTTTCCAGAATTTCAGGGAACTTCTCCTTTCAGCCCTGTTCTCATGGCGATTTGCTTGGGGCAATCCTTAGTACTGGGATTTCCAGAAATAAGTTGGGAGATATTGTCTTGCAGGTATTCTAAATCTATGTGCTTTGGGAATTTTGAGAAATGCAATCATCCTTCTTGACAAAGTCTGGTTCTAGAGCAATGAACATTTTTTTGTTTTTCAAATACTGAAAGATAAAAGTAAAAGGAAAATTTCCATGATAGGAATTTTTGTCACATAAAACCTTTACCTCATAAGCTCAGTAACCGCTCCAGCTTCACATAAAAATATCCATGTGCCTCAACTTGCATAAAGATGGGTGGTTGCGGTTTGGAGGTTCACCCTTCACGGCATAGACCTCACAATAACGGTTAACTAAATTCCATTTGCATTATTTGCATCAATCTTTTATAATGCATGTTAACAAGTTAAAGCATTTGTGTGTTATCTGATGTTTTCCTCATTCATGTAATCCATATCAGTAGAAGTTATTTTTGTACTCTTCTGGTCTTTATTGACTTCCATGCCTTTATATGAAATTTTAGGGTGAAAAGGGAGGTCAAGTTCTTATTGTTCCAGAACTAGCTGACTTCCTCACATCAACATTGGACAAGGTAGTATTTCTAGGCATGGTTTTAAAAGGCGTTCAAGGCGGACCGCCTCAAGGCGGTAAGGCGGTGAGGCAGGCCTTTTAAGCCTCAGAGGCGTAAGCCTCGGTAAGGGTATGTGAGGCGTACGCCTTGCCAGGCCGAGGCAGTACGAGGCGGTGAGGCGGTAGCCTCAGAGGCCTCATATTAAAATTTCAGCACCCATGGGTTAAATGATACTCCGTACAAAGCAATTGGGCCTTTAAAAGATCTTGGGCACTAGATTTTTGTTAAAGACTTCTTACCCTTGATAAATTAGGATTTCTTTTACTTGTACTTCTGCCTCTCCATCTTCAACCTAGCACAGTGCAGCTTCTCTCGCACAATACTTCAGCCTCTCCATCTTCTTCAACTTTTGCACACCCCATCTACGACGCACCTTTTGTTCCTTCGGTCTCTCCATTTTCATAAGACAATTGCTTCATATTCTTTTATAGACAAAAAATGCTTCATATTCTACATACTTCACCTTCAAAAATTTTTAAGTTTTTACTCCGACTTTAATTTTCTGTCCCTTTCCCCAGCACTACACTCCCTCTTCATCCATGCGATTTGTATGAAGGTCGCTTAACTACAAATTTCATTGTATTATATACTGGAAATAAACTTGTCTAATTTTGGTTATGAAGTAAAAATCATTAACCTTTATCCATTTTATCATGTTTGAAGGCAGAATTGAGGCGTTTGTGACTTTGCGTTTTATGTTGTTTAAATTTTTTAGAGTAATTCTCTTTTCTTTTTTTTTTGTATTTTAAAAACTAAGGTTGGGTATTACTTTTTGCAAAAATCAGGAATTGAAGCCTTTAGATTTCAACATCATGATTATGGATTATGTATTTCTGTTTTTACCATGGAGTATTCGTTTTAGCTTTGTTTTTTTCAAACAGAACTGAGGCTTACGCCTCGTTCCGCCTCCAGGCTTACGCCTCAAGGCATGTTTGTCCACCGCCTCGAGGCTCGTTTTCGTCTTTCAAAACCTTGTTTCTAGGTCCACCATTTGCACTTTATTAGGTAGTAATTCTTAAGTTCTAAATAGATAATCCACCCATCATCTTGCCTGCTTGGTTATATTAGACTCAAAGACAAATAAGTACGGAGTACATCATTTCAAATTACTTTTGTAGCCCTTTCTAGGTCAATCATCGCCACTATTGTAGGTAGTATAGCTGATTACACATGCTAGAGATTTTTAACTTTATGAGTTGGGGAATGAACAATAACTACAATAGGTAAAATGGGAAAAAAAAGGGGAGGATCCTTCGTAAATTCAGTCATTCAAATCCTGCATTTCAGGTAAAAAACAGTAAACCATTTGTTTTTCCTGTGTTGTAGGTTGGAAATGTTACTGTCTCCTGTAAAAGGATTCCATTGCTTGCACTTGAATATGAACCTCCAAGGTTACTATATGGTATCCCATTATTATTATTTTTTTATGGAGTTTATTTGAGGTGATGGGTAATTGATCTAGAGACCTCTATAAGGTGAATATCATTGTGTTGCATTGCTGCAAGCCTAGAATGCCCTTCACAATTCACATACCCTTGGTATATCCATTCAGTTTATTTGGTTATGTCTTTTTTAGTTCTTTTTAATGATTAATAATTGCTTGGTCTTTTGCATTTCTGTGTGGGGAGGAGGAGGAGGCGGTGATTTTTTCTAATGCTACATTTCTTTACTCTTCTCAGGACCAAGTTGCTAAAAACTATAGAAGCATCATTGAGACTTGATGCAATAGCAAGTGCAGGGTTCAAAGTTTCACGTACCAAGATGGCCGGTCTCTTAAGGTACATTTGCTTCAACTTAAATTTCCCTGTATCATTGGTGAACCTCTTACTTTTATAAGTCCAATTTTTTTATAATAATAATTACTTAATGAATTACTTATGCTTTTATTAGTCTAATTTCTTTTAAATAATAATTTGTTACTTATGCTTTCATTAGTCTAATTTAGTTTTTAAAAATACTTACTCCGTCTTAAAGTGTTTATCAAATTTTGACTTTTTATAGTTAACCAGGGTTAATTTTTGTCCTATAATTTCAATTAAAATGGATCTACATGAAGTATGACTCGATTGTATTAAAAAAGAAAGGTTCCTCACATGTATTTATAATTAAAAATGAAAAAAAAATGCATGAGCTAACGGCAAAATTAACGAAAGGACCAACCATGCATTGTTAACGTGACTTGAAGGACCATTTGTGGAATTTCCAAAGTTGAGGGACTAACTGTGAATGACCCAATAACTTGAAGGACCAACGGTGGAATTCAGCCAAACTTGTATGATGTACACATAACAAATAACATGACAAATATTAATTTGTTCCAAATTTCAACACACAATGATGTAGCCGACGAGTTCATCAAGTTTCCGGCATTTTGTTTTAGTAATGGAGATGTGCGTGTCAATTGGACAACTGCGATGAAAAGCAACACTACTGTCAAGACTAGAGATTTGATATCTGTAACCGGTAAAGGAAGATTAAAGGTACCTTTTATAGTTTTACATTACTCTTTGTTCACTCTTTTCAGTTTTCTTAACTCACATGAGCAAGTAGAAGAGCATTCATATTCTAATGTAATTAATGCTCTGTCTTTGTACAGATAGGGGAAATTGTTTCGACTAGGAAAGGGAAGTTTGCCGTTGAGCTGATCCGATACATTTGAACCTTGAAGGTACGGCACCATGTGAAGTTATTAGTGTTTGACTATTTAGAAATGGCGAAATGGATAATCTATATGGTGCCTTAAGGCCATCAAGGGCAACACATCAGAAGTTTAATTGTCAAAACTTACAAAGTCTCGATTAATTATGTCTGTATAAATTGCCTGTCAATCTTCTAAACAAAATTTTGGTCATTACGCTTGGCAAAATAAAATCAGAATCGATTACCCAAACCGAATCATCCGAAACCAAAACCAAAATGATTCAAAAAGTGAAGATTCGGTTTATAATCGAATATATGAAATGATCCGAACCAAAATCAAACTAAATATATCCATTTTTAAGTTCAATACCGATCAGATCCGAATCAATTTAAACTCGAAATCGATAAGACTATACCAAAAATTGTCATAAATCAAAATTGATCTTGCCTTTCAATAAATATATTATATTTATGTGCATTAGTGCACAATTACATTCATGTAATTTTAAATTTTTTACTCTTTTACCATTTAAACTAATTATATTGTTTTTTTGAAAGAACACTTCACTAAAATTAAAAAGTTTACAATGGAGTCTGGGGTTCAATCAGCTCACTCCCTCACACCCGACACTGAATGAGTAGCATGTGCTAAAAGATGTGCTCTCTCATTGGATGAGCGATGAGAAAAATGAAATCTAAGATCTTCTCCACACATGATACGAAGACTTTTATAATCATCGATAATAGAGTCAAAATAAGAATAATGGCTAACATGTGAATTTAGTTGATCGATGACCTCCTTACAGTCTGGCTCAATTATAACACGAGTCCAACCTTTAGCTTTAATCCAACTGAGAGCCTCCTTCACCGTGATAGCCTCCGCTTTCCAAGGACCAAAACTTCCTCAACACTTGATACTTTTTGTAGCAATGAAGCATCCATCATGGTCCCGAGCAACCAAGTCGAAGCCCACATGATTCTCTATGAACCCGCTGAAGCGTCAACATTAACTTTGATGAAACTTGGGGGCGGTTTCTCCCATCCCCGGCGCCCTAGACTCGACAAAATGTGTTGCAACAAGGCCCAAATCTTCAGAAGCTCTTCACATTACGGGCTGACCATGTCGACCAAAGAGTACAGTATATCAAAGCTTGATCACTAGCATTGAAACGATTAAACACTGCCACCAATCATTCCGAGAAAGTTTGTTTCTTAAAATTGGATTGCCATCTTTGGAAAACATGCAAAATCTCGAGTCTTTCAAATTTATTTTATTTTCATCATAATCATACAATTTTACTCAATTTTTACCTAATTGTATTCAATGTCAATCGACAAGAACATTTCTTTGACGGGGAGTTGAATGAGTTTCACTAAATTTCACTTAAATTTAATTAATTTTCATCCCATTGGATTCAATTTGACAATTTATTTGATTTGAACAGAATGCTATTTCAATCCAAATATATTTAAAACTGATATATATCCGGACCAAAATATATCTGAAATTAAAATATATCTAAAATCAAAATATATATATATATATATATATATATATATATATATATATATATATATATAAATGAATTTATATTTGAATTCTATATGAATCGATTCAAAATTTAATCAAAACCGAAAAATGTATAAAATTGATGCAAACCGAAATTAAACTGAATGGATTATAACACTTATTCTAACGATATCTGAACAAAATAAATCAATTATAACACTTAGTTTAATTTATACTTCGTATTTCACAAACAAAAGAGAACGAATGTTAATAAAATAGTATTTCAAATGTTTGTTAAATTTTTTATATTCATCTACCAAAAAATCAAAACTTAAATAAATGATTATTTAAATAAAAGATACTTTGTAATTCATCTACAGTTGAAACAACTTTTGAAAATCAATTTATTTTTTAATGAAGAAATATAAAAACATTATTTTTTTTTATAACAAGTTTGTATATATGTTTGATTCAGGGTAAATTTCAGTAATGGTACCTGGACTTTCACAGGAATTTTGAGGTAGTACCTTAACTTTAAATCCTTTCACTAAAGTACCTAAACTTACATAATCCTTTTACTAAAAGTCTATTTACTCGTTTCCAGGTAAACTTTCAGTCGTTTGGGCTAAAATTAAAACTTTATATATTTTAAAATTTTTAATTTGACATAATTTCTTTTTTTCTTCTTCTTTCCCCTCCAACTCCCTTCTTCTTCTTCTTCTTCCTCACCCCACCCCACTCCCAGTCCCCCCGCCAGCCCCCCACTCTGTCCCTTCTTTTTTTCTTCTTCTTCCCCCTCCCACTCCCTTCTTTTTCTTCTTCTTTCAGCCCCTTTCTTCTTCTTCTTCTTCTTCAATAAACTAATTTTATTACTCCCTCTGTCCACCATAGATCTTCCCAGACACTATTCACAGGGTCAAACTTTAATCACTTTGTTTGCTCATTTTTACTAGTCATTTCATAAAATAATATAGTCTTGTCACCTCTAGTTTTGTAGAATTTTTTATGTAGTTTATTACTATATACATTTTATTTTAAAATTTTACTCCTATAATGAATTAAATTGAATTGAAAATAAAGTAAGTCAAGCCTCGTAACGCGTAATGGGAAGATCTTACATGGACGGAGGGGTATATTAAAATTAATTTTGAAAAAGACCTCATAACTGCACTAACTCATTTCTTACATATGTACTCCGTATATGGTTGCTTAAAACAAATTAAATTATACAACAAATATTTTGTTGTTCTCAATTTTCCAAATTCAAAACATTTAAGGATGACCCCTAGAGAAGAGCAATATTTTTCGGGATATGCTAGGGGTACACCTTTACACCAAAGGTGTATCCCAAATGTACATCACTTGCCTCTACATCATTCATTTTATTTTCTTTTTATTTTTTACTTTTTTTTTTGAAATTTTCTTGCCTTTTTTGTGTGGTGATGGAGGGGGTGAGGATGTTTGGGGTACACTTTTGGTGTACCTTACCATTTTCCATATTTTTCGACCGAGACTGTGAACCGTGGGATTGAGCTATCGGGACCCGACGCCGGAGTCCTAACGTTCTCTGTTAAGGTTCGTCGCCGGCTGCTGGATTTCGTGCAGTCCGTGAAACTGGGGTAAATTTCACCAATGGTACCTGAACTTTAGCTAGAATTTCGAAGTGGTACCTGAACTTCAAATCCTTTCACAAAAATCCCTGAACTTACACAATCCTTTCACTAATGAGCCATTAGCCCGTTTCTAGGTTAACTTCCGGTCATTAGGGCCAAATTCGAATTTTATATATTTTAAAATTTTAGATTTGACCCCATTTCTTCTTTTCTTTTCTTCCGGGCCCCGCCGCCGCCGCCCGCCGGTCAAAGTCGCCGGAAAATGAAATTTTTCCGATTCCGGCGGGACCAATGTCATTCTCTTCGTCTTGAGACGAGGATCAATAATATCCAAACCATTTTGTCTAATTTTGCCTGTAACTTCTCGAATCTGAATTTTTCTACTCGAAAAAACCCTAAAATCAAAATTGGATCCAAAATGGGGGGTTTTGCAAATCGTCATCAAATCTTGCAATTGAAGGGTCCTTGGAGGTCGCCCAGATGCCACGACCGCATTGGAGTGGATGCCCGCCGTCAATTTCGCCGGAGTTGGCCGGAAAACGCTCCGACCCGCCGGAATCGGAAAAAGTTCATTTTCCGGCGACTTTGACCGGCGGGCGGCGGCGGGGCCTGGAAGAAAAGAAAAGAAGAAATGGGGTCAAATTGAAAATTTTAAAATATATAAAATTCGAATTTGGCCCTAATGACCGGAAGTTAACCTAGAAACGGGCTAATGGCTCATTAGTGAAAGGATTGTGTAAGTTCAGAGATTTTTGTGAAAGGATTTGAAGTTGAGGTACCACTTCGAAATTCCAGCTAAAGTTCAGGTACCATTGGTGAAATTTACCAGTGAAACTGAAGTACGTCAAATTGGGGTACTACTACTTGATAAACAATGGGTTGTGCTTTGCCGCCGTGGTACCGCTTCTAGCGGCGGCGGTGCTCGGCCTGGAGTTGGTATGGGACTATAAAGGGCGGTGGCCTGATCTACGACTTAAGAAACGTCGTAGTGCAGTTATAATTCAATAAACTAATTTTATTATATTAAAATTAATTTTGAAGAAGAAGAAGAAGAAAGGGGGTGAAAGAAGAAGAAAAAGAAGGGAGTGGGAGGAGAAAGAAGGAAAAAAATTGGGTTGTAAATTTTAAAATATACTCCGTATAAAATTTTAATTTTAGCCCAAATGACCGGAAGTTTACCTGGAAATGGGTAAATGGACTTTTAGTATAAGGATTATGTAAGTTCAGGTATTTTGTGAAAGGATTTAAAATTTAGGTACCACTTCGAAATTCCAGTGAAACTTCAGGTACCATTACTAAAATTTACCCGTTTTATTCGGGGTTTTTAAGTATCGAAAGTTATCTCGTACCGATCCCAAATACTAGACCGACTATTCGGTTCGATACGGTAGAATTCTTTTTTTGATATTTTAAGGATTTGGTATTTTTTAATTCAGTAATCTTTTTTGAAAATTTTGGAATCGATCCGGGCAACAATTTTTGAAGGGATATGCTAGGGGTACACCAAATGTGTACTCCAAATGTACACCACTTCCCTTTCTACCATTCATTTTATTTTGTTTTTATTTTTTATTTTTATTTTTTTTTTGAATTTTTCTTGCCTTTTTGTGTTGATGGAGAGGGTGGGGATGTTTGGGGTACACTTTAGTGTACCCTATAAAGTGTACCCCTGTCATTTTGAAGAGGATTATGCTAGGTGTACCCCAAGGTTTGTACCCCAATTTGTACCCCGCAATTTTGCACCAACACTTTGTGTTGGTGTAAAACTAATTTTTGTTAAACGCACCAACATTTGTGCCTGTGTGAATATTTATTAACGCATCAACACTTGTGTCGGTGTAAACCATCGAAATGTTTGTGCAAACTTGTGGTGTACAAATGGGGTATATTTTTTGGTGTAAGTGTAGCATGGTCCTTTTGAAGAACAAGTGACCAACCCCAGCTTGCGTCCCCAGAACATCTTTTATAGTTCTTCAACGGCTCCCCCAGAGCCATTTTAAAATTCAAATTGAAGATCCCGTACGAGGCTAGCAATGGCGAGCGCTGATGCCTCCCAAATTACACCAAC